GCCAGCAACGAATATGTTTTCGATCTATAAATAAACTTTCCTCAATATGTAACCTTTTTAAGAGGTGCTTTAGTACTGCACTCCGTTTACGGATCCCTGTGTGCCTTGCAATTTTGCACGGTGAGGCCAAGTAAAACTTTGACAATTTTGGCCGTTTCCCTCACGTTCCTAAACAATACTGATTTTTTCTACTTCTGACGTAAGAACATACCTCCCTCTATACATTGAGGCAATTTAAGCTCTTTTTGCTCGCTTTTATACTCCGTTCTTCGATTATGAATGCGCGGTAGAGCGCCCACATAAATCCTGATATTTTGCTGAAACTATTGATGCTTTGCTCGTTTAATTTCTGAATAAGTTTTGCACAGAAACTAAACTACACGAGAAGTAGTGCTTGATGTGTTGAAAACTGGAAATGACCATTCGGTGGTGCTCATTTATGTGACATCAGGTAGAATTTTCCAAACTGCAACCCAATTTCAGGTCAGTTAAACGAAGTAATCCCTGTCTGCGGTATTACTGCTTTTTAGGTCACCAAATCGCACAGATCCGCTTATATAACATTTAGGAATAGATAAGACCTCTGGTTTTGTTAAAATGTCTTTTGTGTTAGCAGGTTGATTACCACAGATAACATCGGACATAAAATAAATTTTTCAAGTTCGACTAGATCTGTTTATTAAAACTCTCGCGGATAACTCACTATACTTTCAATGTAAAAGTCGCACAGATGCGTAACCGGAGTCTAGGACATGTAGTAACACAGGAAATTGCAGAAAAATATTCCAACGTCCATTTAGCTAAACTTTACTGATATTATACTTGATAAAATTATGCGAACACAATTTCTGCAGAAGAACAGGATATTTTATTGAAGGAAGTAAATGAACGAACAAAATGCGCAGCCTACATGACGTGCAGAAATTCTCTCATCTGTTTCCGTTATCAGATTTTATGAGATGCATTAGGTGGGCTCACTCATGAAATGTCCACCTAAATTCCGAAATGCGTTCTTGTTTCGAAAAGATTAATTAAGATTGGTTGTAAAGCCAGTCAGCCTGCAAGATAATTTTATAATATTTCAATCACCTCAGGATGCGGGCTTTCGAAAGAACTTCCTCCCGGCTGCATGCAAAAACTACACTACTGACTACTTAAGTAGCATTATTTCTTATCATTGATTTTGATTCCCCTGAAAATCCAATGATATTTCATAGAAACCATGCATAAAATATTCATTCTTTTGCTCATTCGGTAGATACTGACGTCTTCTTCTAATTTTAAACTCAAAGGAGGAACAACATTCAGTTTTAAAAAAAGTTTTCAATCGTGGGACTTTCAAATAACGTGAAATGGCCGTTCATAAATCGCCATATCTCTGCATTTACCAATATAGCTTGATAAGTTAACAATATGGATCAAATCCACTGTTAAATTTTATGAACCCTATATGATCCCCCTTTATTACCGTAGAAAAATGTGTTGTTTTCCGTACGCAGAAAATATACGGCTTGTAGTTTCGAAACTCTGAATTCAAGTGCGACAGTAGAGCAGGCTCAAAAATATTCGGACTTTGGAAAACGCTTTTAAAACCGAATTATGTTCCTCCTTCGAGTATAAAATTAGAAGACGTACCGAATGGGCAAAAGAGTGAATGCTTTTATGCATGTCTTCCATGAGATATAATTGGACTTTTAGGGGCATCGAAAATCAATAATAAAATTTCCTGCTTAGTAAGTAGTCATTTTTTACGAGGTGTAGTTTTTGCATGCAGTCGGAAGGAAGTTCTTTCGAAAGTCGGTATCCTGATGTAACTGAAATATTATAGAATTATGTTGCAGGCTGACTAGTTTTACAACCCTACCTAATTAATCTTTTCGAAACAAAAACGCATTTCGGATTTTCGGTGGACATTTCATGAGTTAGCCCACCTACTGGAGGTTACGCCAAAGTTAAGAACTGTTCAGCGGCAATCTCGCCGTAACTGCAGATGGGAATATCTGCTGTTGTGTGTCCCTACACACTTCAAGCCCTTTCGGAGATGGAGATACCGGTCGTTGAGGAGGACGACGTCAGTTGCTGGAGCACTACAAAGCGAATATCGCCAATCTCTGCAAGGCCACTGGTGGATGTGGGTGCAGGCAATCCCTTATTCTGGAGAGGGCGCTCAAAGGTAGGGTGACGCGATGCAGGCGTCGATCTTGACAACTGGCAGAACGTCGCAGGAGGACTGTCCTGTCTGCCGCAGAGCGTCAACAACCGCCTTATTACCCTGTACCTGTCGCACCAGGGAGCCTAATTCAGCGGCTGCGTCCCCCCACCCCTTCAAAGACCAGCTCCGACATGGAGCAGAAAAAATTCTCTGAAGATCTGCACGTCCTCCTGTCGACTGTGCCGAAGGCGGACAGGGTGATTGTCCTGAATGTGTTCAGTGCCCGCTTCAGGGTGGATCGCGTTGCCTAGGATGAAGTGATTAGGCCCGTGGTCTAGTCGATTATGACGAAGACGGCCTCCTCCTTCTATGAGCCTGTGCAAAACACCGCCTCCTCCTTCTGACGAACACCTTCCGACTTCCAACGCGGGAGAGTGCAGCGTGGATGCTTCCAAGATTGCGGTAGAGACGACTGCTGGATTACGTTAGTGTCCGAAGGAGAGATTAAGGGGACATTCTGGAGTCCAGGACGATCTAATGTGTCGATGGCTGGACAGATCGCCGCCTTTTGATCTCCATGATGGGGCACCGAAGGCAACTTCACGGGAAACCACAGGGCAAACGACAGCCTAGAAATGTAAATGCTGTTCTGATGAGTTTACCTGTTTCCCGGGCTGATTTCAGACATCAGTTGGCCCAGCGACGGGAAGAAATACAGGCTCCGAGGACAACGCCACCGTAGCGACGCAGTGAATGCTATCTTCCCCACCGCCCTCGGCATCCGCGGTCGTCCACGCCTTCATCAGTAGTATTTATTCGACGTAAACAACGAATCAATCTGAAATCTGCTCGCCGAGAAGAAAAGACTGTAGTAATCTACATCAGCTGTTGTACCGATGCAAGCAAAGCCTCTTTCTGATCTCAAATTCTGAAGAGCTGGGTCGACAACTTCAAAATCATCCTCAACTGCCCATCCACGATCTCCGACTCGGCCACTGACTGGCTCCCGCATTTGGAAACAAACAACGACCTGGCCCGTCAGTCTCCCTCCCAGAAACAATCATGGTCGTGCATCACTTGTCCAGGGTGGAAATTGCCGAGATCCGACGCGATGCCGGCTGAAGTCTACAAGTATATCGGTCAAGCTGGTGAAAAGACTTACAACGAGGCTTTAGGAGTTGAGGTGTCAGGGAAAATTCCTGCAGGATTTTAAGGATGTGACAGACGCCCACGGAGTAATTTCGTTACTCAAAATTGCTGGAATTACCTTCGCTCACATTCAGCTTAATCGCCTTAGCATCCACATGGAAAATGGATTACACCCGGAAATTTAGCGTGGTTTTCTTCGTCACTGCTAAACCGCTGACACAATCTTTGCTGTCCAATAGTAGGAGCGACTGCTTGAACAATAACTTTATTTGCCTGACTTTTCGGATTTACACCCGAACCCATCATCAGTGCAAGCAACAGACACGGTGTGCGATAGTGCCATTAAATGCGGTCCCACTTCTACACTACGTTCATGGATCTTAAAAAGCCCTCGACATTGTTAATGGCCATGTACTTTGGGGAATCGTGCATGAATTCGGCTGTCCTGAGCGATTCATACGAATGGGCCTCAGCTCCGCGATGAGATCATGGCGCGCGTCATGGGGAATGGGGAAATTTTAGAAGCGTTCGCAGTGACCAGTGTGATAAAGCAGGGCTGTGTACTTGCTCCCACCCTCTTCAGTCTCAAGTTTACTTGTATGACGATGGACGCATTGTCAATAGAAACGAAGAGACGAGACACAGGAAGCAGTCTTGAAGAAGGAGACACGATTGCTGGGACTTGAGCTTTATTAGCCTGACGTTTCGGGTTCCTGCTCGAACCCATCATCAGAGACAACAGCAGATACGGGTGATTCAGGCACCAGGGACTGCTGTATTTATAGGGTGCTGTAGCCATGCTATCGCTTTCCTACGAAAATTCACGGTTCTTCCTTCATCCGGGATCGTCGGCCTTGATGTTCTAAATGTTTGATGGCCGACATTCGCGTCGTAAATTGCTGCAATTTCATCACGTGCGTTGGATGCTGGTGTGATGATTGCTCGACCATCTGACGCATCGACCCTGGTCTTGAGACAAGTGTTCACATGTGCGCTCTCCGCGTGGCCAATTACTCCGCCTAGGCGAAGTTTCAGCACCGAGTATGGAAGGGGAAGGTCATTACACTTGTTACTGGACTGGGGACCAGGCAGCTCCCGGCTCACGCGGTTGTCATCTCTTGCGAGAATTTCGGCCTCGTCAAATTTGACTGTGTGGCCGGATCTCGTCAAATTAGCCGTAACTTGAGAGCTGGCGTCATTTCTGCGCACCACTACAGCGTGTTCGGCCATTCTCGTTCGGTGCTGTCTTCTGGTTCCTCCGACGTAGTTGCTTTTTCCGCAACTTCCCAAGATTCGATAGACGACTCCAGTTGTTTCTCGCCGTGGCAGTGGGTCTTTCGGTTTCATCCCCTGATGCCTGATGGTTGCCTCCGGTATGTGTGCAACTCCAACCGCAAGTGGTGCGAGAAGGCGGCCGACAGCTTCCAAAACGTTCTTGACATACGGAAGCGCTCGCCAAAATTGGGTGTCCGAGCGATTAGGCCTTTCGTCCCTTTTGCGTATGCACCGGTTGAAGAAGTTGCGTGGGTAGCCATTGGTTTTGAAGACCCGTCCGAGTTATTGTAGTTCGGCAATTTTGTCTTTCGGCTCACTGCAGTGCGTTTCGACACGCCGATAGAGCGTCCTTACACAACTGCGTTTGTGGCAGATTGGCTGGTTACTGTTGAAGTTCAGTACTTGCATCGTATTTGTCGCTTTCCTAAACACTTTGATCTTTTTTTCCACCACAATCTTTGCGGCATACAAGGCCATCCAGGAAGGCCAGCTGGTTGTTCTCTTCCTCCTCCATCGTAAATTGTATGCCTGGGAGGACCGCATTCAGATGTCTTTTGAATGTCAGCACCTGATCCCGTTCGATGACGACGAAGGTATCATCCACATACCGGGCCCAGAACTTCTGCCTGTGGTGTTGGAAGACCAGCGACTCTAACCGTTTCAAGACCGCCTCGGCGATGAATGCCGAAATCGGTGAACCCATTGGTGTGCTCTTCACCTGCTCGTAGATTATCTCGTCGAGCGTGAAGAACGTCCTGAGACAGAAATTCAGGAGCTGAAGGACTTGGGCGTGTCCAAGACGATTCGGCGTTTCATCGTATTTGCTATGTAGAAGCAACTCGATTGTCTCGATCGCCAGGTCCTGGGGAATGGAAGTAAAAAGGGATGTAACATCAAAAGATACCATGACCTCATTTGGATGGATGCTTACCACTTTGAGTTTCTCCAGGAATTGTGCTGACGAAGAGACCGTGGTGTCTGACTCAGCGGTCAGGAACTTGAAACGCCGTATCTGCTTTGGTCTCTGACGATGGGTGCGAGCAGGAATCCGAAGCGTCAGGCTAATAAAACTTTTCTCCAGCGATCGTGTCACCTTCTTCAAGATGGACGCATCTTCTACAGAACTGACAGCTATCGTGTCAATAGCTGGTCTACCCACCACTACCGTCCACTACCTGCTTTTCGCGGACGACTGGGCGCTCAACATCGCGACAAAAGTGGACATCCGTCAGAGCCCGGATCTTTTCGCCGCCGGCTGCGCCAACTTCGCGCTGACAATCAACACTAACAAGGCGATGGTCATGCATCAACCACCACCCAACGCTTTATACTGTATTTCTTACACCAACTGAAGATCGTGGACAATTTCGCCTGCTTAGGCCACACACTCACGCAGCATCAAAATTGCTAACGAGGCGGCGCACTGGATCTCTGAAACCAGCCACCCCTTCGGCCGGCTGCAGGCCACAGCCTGGCGCAGCCGCGCACTTCGACTATACACGAAACTCAAAATCTACAGGATGGTATTTCTGACAACGCTACCAGGCGGGAAGGAGACAGGGACCGTCCTCACCAAATAATTCAGAAAAATCGGTCATTTTCACTTCAGCGTTTTCTGACGGATATTACATCTGGGGTGCTTGGACAGGATCCCGGAAACGAACGTCTTGGAACGGACTGTAAGCCTCAATATCCACGCCATACTAGGTCACTTGCCACTGCAATGGAACGGTCACTCCGCGAGGATGGACGACGAACAATGACCAAAACGACTTTTCGACAGAGGTCTCGCTGTGTGTGTGTGCTCGTCATTATGGGGGACAAACACGGCGCTAACGATCTCGCATCAGTGTTACGCGTGAACGTTTTTACGGGGTGGGTTTCGCGATGTCGCCGATCCACGGAAGCATGGCGAGAGCCAAAGAATCGGCCTTTACCCGTTTCTGCGGCCTTCAAAAGTGCGCAGAGGACACTCCTCGCCGGCCTCTTCCCAAACTCAAAGGCGCTCCGACTTACGGACTGGCAAAGCGGCTGTTTAGGCGTCCAAAATTTCTGCCTGGTGATTCAGCTACCACAATCAGCTCGTTAACACAATTTATGGAGAATCTTCAGAGTGTACGTCTTCTGCCAAACAACGCAATGGCACCGTTTGATATCATGTCCTGTTTTACTTTCATTTCATAGGATCTGACACTCAAGACCACCGATTTACGCCGTAAAAACGAAGGCGATGAGACGCAGAGTCACCCATGTCATGGTCAAGTCCTCCGACTCCTAATGTTCTGTCTCATAACTTACTTCACCTTCGAAGAAACAGTCTACTCGCAGGTGGCAATATGTTTTGTGGCTATGGCCGGTTCATACACTACGGTTACAATACAAATCCTGAGGTCCATTAGAGAGGCAGACCTCCTGCCGAATGAGGTCATGGTATTTCTGGATGATGCATTCGTCGTAGATGAGTGGGATCAGGCGTTAACAATTGAATGACGCCTCAACTTCGTTTCCCCGAACATGCAATTTCCTACTGGGCAGGAGGGAAACTGCCAGTTAGTCTTCCATGATGTACCTGTCTGCCGGAGCGATTGCGGTGACATAGGGTCGAATGTGTTTTGCAAGGTGACAAGTAAAACGAAGGTTCTGAGCTCCAACAGCCATCAAATGATCAGCTGCAAATGCGGTGGTGCTAGGATGACATACAGGTGCAGATGCTATGTAGTGTACCTGAGGACATAGCTGCTGAATTGTAATGCTTTCGACGGATGCTCAGGGTGACTGCCCATCCCCGCGAATACGTGAAAATGTTCATGCGAAACCGAAACGGAAAAGACATCAGCTCCAGGAGCAAAATTTTTGCGGATAGGCCCATGCGTCAAGGACGTATCGGAAGCCTTCAGCCGCCCTCTCACACCACTTCCAGTTGACGTTGCGCACAAAGCCGAGGTAATCCCCAGACGGTCAATCATATTGCCGAAGAACGCACCGCCAAGACGGGAAACGTGTGGGGCTGTTTCTCGTGTCTTATGCAGCTGTCGACAGAGTAACTAAGTCGGAGAAACTAAAAGACTACTCCGGACGCGGATGTTCGAACGTGCGGCAGTAGTGCGGGCGGTTGCAACTCATTTGACGGGGCCGGATTAGACATTTAAGTATGACAGGGCCAAAATTTCAGTGCGAGATGAAAATCGCGGTTGGTGCGGGCTGCATGAGTTATCTTTCACTGGTTTACAGACGATTAAGAAGCATACTGACCTCCTCTCAGCAAATTCTATGCCAAATCTGTTTGTTAAGGCTAAGTAATAACGCGGAGAGCTTGCTGACAATGACTGCTTTCGTGTAGGTGAGGCGAATAACTGATCATTTTCCGCACATATAGTTACTGCCAGTAACGAAACTGTGATAGTCATTGACTGGGCCTCGGAAAATTTACAGCCTTGACCGATTCTACGTCGCCGTGTTTTGAAACATTTTGGAAAGGAACCGTATACAGATTGGTGGCCAGATGGCTTAATATCTTTTTTCCATGGCACTGCGTCGTGTCCGGAGCCATTTCGAAATATTCGCACGGTCGGATCTTATATCATGGCTGTATCTGCAGTAGATAAGCCCCAGTCTAACCTCTAACACTAACCCCCGACCCCTAACCCCAACCATATGTCAGATGCAGTTATGGGCAAAGCAATTAGGTCGGAGAAGCTGGAAGACTACTCCGAACGTGGATGTTCGAACGTGTGGTAGTAGCGTGGGCTAATGACGTCAGTTCCGAATTTAAGACTCATTTGACGTGGCCCGATCAGACATTCAAGTATGACGGAGCCAAAATTATCGTGCGGAGAGACAACCGCGAGTGGCGCGGTCTGCTTGAGTTATCGTTCACTGGTTCACAGACGATTAAGCAGCATAATGACCTCATCTCTGCAAATTCTATGCTGAAATATTGCCTCGGAGGAGGAATTAGTGATGCAGAGAGCGTGTGAACAAGCACTGCTACCAGTGTCTGAGTCGGTGAGCCAAATAGCTGAGTAGTTATCCCACTAGTAGATAACACCATTGAAGAAATTGTGGTAACCAGCGAACCGGCATCGGGCAAGTTGCAACCCTGACTTATTCTACGTCGCAATATTCTGGGAAAATTTGGGTCGAATTTGTACATAATTTGACGGTCAGGTATCTGGCTTCTGGGATATTTTCCTTCAAGGGATATGAGCATGTCCGGACCCAATTCGAAATTCCCGCACAAACTTGTTTCTGTGTCGTAGAAGAATTATTCTTAGTTTTATGGAATCGTCGTATTTTCCCACACACGTGCATATTTCATTGTCATACTTATGTGCCCTTTCGACCTGTGTATTAGTCTTACGCATTTTGCCAATACCTAATGCATATTTTATTCCAGCCTATTCGCCTCACACTTCCACTGTTCGCAAGGAGGTACAAAATGGGTTGATGTCATTGGGACCCGTATGACGTTCGGAGCATGGCATAAACGATGAAATTTATTTAAAACATGCTAAATTGTAGCTCACAACACAGAGAAGGATACCGATCTACGATGAATCTCCCATCCCTCAATAACTACTGATCGCAGGTCGGAATATTTTATAATGACGGACGAACTCGTGTCATCATAAACAGGGCGAACGCGGAGTTACTCGGGTGTGGTTAGCAAATAGACAATGAAATTTATTCAAACGTGCCCCAACTGTGTTTGAAACGCCTTGCGTGTTTGCGGCGGATATTAAGCAAAGTTTTGAGAGAGATAATTACGATCGCCTGTTGATGTCTTAGTGGCAAACGGAAGCGCCATCAATTCACATCACTCGTAAAACCCATTAATTTCTATAAAATTGTTCGCTGACTGCCTTCCGATCTTTAGACATCTAGTGATTCTTGCTTCTGGGCGGGATTGGAGATGACATTCTTTTTTCTTTTTGAAGGATAAATTATTAGCCATTGAGTTGCGGGACGAAGGATGTTGTCTGTTTGCGTGCG